TAATTTTGCCTTGAACATACTAACTGACATTTCGGGTTCTGATATCTATGATCCCAAATAACCTTGTGCATGAATGTGAATTCATTTATAGAACTTAAAAGATCATATCTAACTTTTCCCAAGTAACTAAAGTGGAGTCTAAAATGAGAGGCTGCCCTACAAATTGTGTATCACATAAAGTTGCACTAGATATAGTGATCTCTGCCATCAAATGTTTTATTATATTCAAGAAAAGACACTTATTTTTAAAAAACTCTAAAACCCAAGGGAAAAGTGAATGGTAAGAATTGATCACTGAAGGAATACAGAAGAGTGAAGAATCACTTCTGGCTTGACTGATCAAGGAAGATTTGTTGGAAGCATCATCTGAGCTAAGATCTATAGCAGCTGACAGAGTACACTAAGAAGATAGATTGCCACCTGCAAAGGAAAGCAAAATTCATGGTGCATAGCAAAACTTCAAGAAATGTTAACTATTCATTTTATTACAATTTACTAACTATCTTAAATATTTATAGAGCATCTATTGCTTGAATGAATATAAAATTAATATATGCATTACACAGTGATATACAGGAGGTTGGAAAGGTGATGGATAAGTAATATTTGAGCAGAAACCCAAAGGAAATGAGGGAGGAAACCAAGTAGTGAATCTGAGGGAAAATTTTTCCAGGAAGAGGAAACATTAGGTACCAAGAGACTGAGGCAGGAACATTTTCAGCTTGAGAAACAGCAAGAAAGACAAAATAGCTGAAACAGAGAGCAAGAGGGGAGTGGGAGGAGACGCTATTGCAGTGATGGCTAAGGTCCAGATCATGCAGGACATTATGATCACCAATGAGGACTTTGGACTTGGATGGGATAGGAAGTTGCTGGGGGGCTTTGAGTCGAGTTCCTCTGTAATCCAACCATTTTAAAAGACTCATTCTGGCCTCTACGTTGACAATAAAATGTGAAAGGGAATGAGTGGGAACAAACTTTAAATAGGAGCTGTCACTATAAATGTGTAAGGGACAATAGTGGCTTTGACCTAGGTGGTAGATGAGAGATGGTGCAAGCTGTGAAATTCTAGATACACGATGTTTTGAAGGTAGAACTGAGAGGACGAGCCATAGTTTGGATGTGGGGTATTCAAGCATCGTGCTAAATGGTTTGCACACTTTACTATATGTAATTCTCACAGCAACCCCACTTTATAGATGAAGGAACCAAGTAATGTTAAGTGATCTTACAAGGTCACTCATTGAGCAATTAGCAGTAATTAGCAGATCCTAGGTCTACGAGGTTCCAAAGCCAGACAACTTTCATTTTAAATGTATGCATAAATAAATAGAATAAAATAATTGAAAGGGCCTCAAAACATGCACCGATCCACATCCTTACCTTGAGTGAGCACCAAGATTATCTTGGGCAGAACCACAACTTCCACTTGATGAGATCAAGGACATAAATGCAAGCACAAAAACAACATTTCTGGGACTGAGTTAAAGGCCAACTAAATGGCACTTAAGAAGCTCACTCACCAGTGGAGCCCTGGCTGCTGTCCCAGCTCCTGGCACTGGGCCAGATGCCTTCAGGCCCTCATTTCCTCTCAGTCTCTGAAATGGGGACAATCATATCTATTGGCCTGACCCATCTCACAAAGACCAACTTAAAAGCCAAATGAAGACAGCATTTTTGATGAGGAAAGCCTGTCCACAAGAGAGACAGTATCGTCACTCTGTAACCAAAACCAAGAAAAGCTACCAGATTGACTTGTTCCTACTCTGTCATCATCGGCAGCCCTCAAAGCCTCAGGTTTTCACTAGCAAAATGAAAAAAAAATAGGACTAGTTTCCCTCTAAGATCTCTTTCAGCTTAAAAATGATGTAAGCTTCTGAAACAATTCTCCAGCATAGGCTACAATCCGTCTACTCATTCCTGGTCTGATTTCCTACTTTCAGTGCTACTGGACAGGCATGTAAATAACCCTATTTGAGTATATATACCCTGTCACAGAAGCTGTTAGGGTTCTACTCCTATCCCTCAGGCTTTAGCACTTCAGTGTAGGTATCTGATCTCTCCACCTGCAGTCTCTCTTCCAAACCACACCTCCCCCTCCCCACAGGTGCCTGGAACAGCCCTCAGCCAATGGGTGCTGGCATTGATGTCTAGGTACTTCAATAACTCAGAGGCAGAGATTCTGCTCTGCTCCCAGTTCCACTGCCCTCAATAACATGCCCCTTCTCAGCTTCCTTTCACTCCTGACTCACATGCCCCCCTTCCCTGATGCTGGTTCCTGTACCTCACAAGATAAACTACTTGCATTTGAATCTTTGTCACTAAATCAGCTTCTGGGGGTACCCAAACTAAGGCACATTATATAGACATTTCAATCTCTACCCAATGAGGTTCCCAACTTGATCACTCTATGAGAATAAAAGTAATGTCCTCCAGCAAGATTCCTTTGGATCATACAATTTTTTATAGGAGACTATAAAGACAAAATTCATTCCAGAGCCCATAATCTATCCCTTAAAAGTGAGACCCCT